GAAAAATCAATTTAGCCATCTCATTTAGAAATTTGGACTTATTAATACAGTTCACTTTCAAATTCTCCATTGGGATAGAGGACACACAATCTACTGTAAAATTTACACAAATTAGAAAACCTAAACATTTGCCATTAAATTAGAAACGGGCCTAGCACATAAGGAGTAGAAGATAAAACAACTGTTCTTTATTTGGTGCTTCCAAGTGTTGAAGTTGGAGAGACTACAACAGTGAAATCCAAAAAGTGCCGGATGCCTTTAGAAAGAGTATTGTAGAAGTTTATGAGTCTGCTGAGCGATTAAAGAAGTCTCAAAAGAATTTGAAGTCATATATTAAGGGAAGAACATTCGCAGCAATCACAGACAAGCTGTGGTATGGCTCTCTCTATAAGAAAACTAATCCTGAAAGCAGGCTGCAAGATTAAAAAAAGAGGTCTCGAAAACACCTATTATGCATTTATGAACCTAAAGCAGGGTGCAGATACTGATCATATAGAAGTACAACAAGAACATAAATCAGTAAGTTTAACCTACATGGGAGGGTTTTTAAAGGTCCGATATTATGCTTTTTAAGCCTTTCAACATTAACAACTGGCATATCTTTGTTAAAGTATAACCTTTGCGACTATGGAGTATTCAAAAGTAAAAATTAGTCCAGAAGAAAGACCATTGCCTTCACTGTGACTCTGCTATTCATCATTCGGTGTCCCCCATTTTCAGTGGGGGCACTGCAAAGCAGAGTGAGGCTAAAGTCCTGATTCTAGCTGGGTGAATTTTCTGGTTTTTGCAAATTAAGCAAAGCTAGATCCTGCAAAGGAGGCGAAGTGACATTTGCAGGAGTTGTTTGCATTCGGGTCAAGCCAAATCAGACAGTAGATGTGGCTGTGGTGTACAGAATGAAAGACGCAGTAGAGAAAAGCTGTTTTATATAAAAATGCAGGATAAAGAGATCATGCTAACATAGGATGAAGTGGGGAATGTTCTGCCAAGGATTGTAGGTGAATTTAGTCCTAGAAGGACTGTTTCGACATCATAATTCCAGAGCAGACACCGGGCAGCCACCACCTCTCCCCTACTCTGTCTCCCTGGTGGGCTTCTCCGATATACAGCCGTTCTCCTTCCGCTCTTCTCCTGACTTAGCACCAGCAAGGGGGGCTCAGCTGAGAGGGTTGTGGTGCTCTCTCTGCTGGTGCCTTTGGACTGATTTCCAGCTGCTCCTTACCTCTGTTTGATGGCCCCTGGCCTATGATATAGACTGGGTAGGGGTTACTTTGAAGTGTCCTTTCTTTCTTTAAGTTGTGTGCTGCTCCTCTGCCCTGCCCCACCCACACAGCTCCATGGTGCAGCCTTCTACTCTTAGTGATAGTTGGTCTTCAATCTCAGCATTACTCAACAACTCCATTTCAGACTCAATCCCACAACTGATTCTCATCATTCATCAAGGTCCAAGACCCATGGGAGCCTCAGCAGAAGATCTGTGCATTCACCCAAACAGCACTTGGTCCCCTAGCGTTCTTCTATCCGTGCCACAAGGTTAATCAGCCACTTCCCCTATATAAAGCCACGTCATTTGTCACACTGTGCCTGCTTCCTCTGTGTCTGAGCTGTCTCAGAATCTCTACTTTACTCGTCACTACATTCCTGTGAACATACATCACTGTTTACTTGCTGCACGAATCACCTTAAGCATCCTCTATGAATTATCCTAGGGGGCAGTGCCACCCTCATAGTAACCAACCTCCCCAATGTAGCCTTTCCAACTAGCGCAGATTAGCCTTTATTTTTGTCTGTTTCTCTAATTTCAGCTCTCCGCCTGCCCTGTGCGGCACTTGCTCTCTGTGCACCCTCTCCCCCAGTTCATTCGTAATTTATTACATATAACTGATCTTTAGTGTCTTGTGCAATGGTATGGTCACACCACACCAGGGGGCGGAGCAAGATGGGGGGACAGGGGTGGCCACCCCTACAATTTTTCCCTCTAATACAAATGTGGCAAGTTTAAGTGGAGTATTCAAAAGATTAAAATTTTTCATACATTAACAATTACTTGACAACAAAAACACTGTTGTTAATTATGCACAGCAATGTACTAATATTAAAGATAAGTACAGAATTCATGCTCTTTTCAGAACTAGATTTTGTGTTATATGGGGTAAAGAGAAAATAATGTGTCTGCAAGTAATCTAGAAGTCTTCTGTGAAATAATAGATGAATAACTCTTTTAATAAATTTAATCAATTTATGTAGATATTAGTACTTGTAAATATCAATTTTATCCATGATTATTGGTATAAGTAGGTAAGTATTGACAATGGAAAAGATTAACTCCAGCCTGAAAGAATTGCTTCTACTATTCCTTTAATTTAGAAAACACGGATGTTGAAATATACACATTTATTTGTTAGGAAAGGCTGCAGGAAAGTATAGTTAGTCTTTATTTAGCAAATATGGATGTTGTGATTGTTAATTTTCCTGTTGGAATGGTGTAGATTGACCCTGAGGTTCTGGGGCCTATCCACTTTCGGCCTACCCTCAGTGAACATTGGTTATTGCCTCGCCACCCTTACAAAACTTTTCTGGCTTCGCCTCTGCACCACACACTTTCTGAGCATCAGGGGCAGACAGTTTACATGCAAAGTCTATGATGGACGTACTTCAAGGGGTTTGTTGTCTCACATTCCACCTTTCAAAACCCACTAAAGGGGAACACAGTTTTTTTTTTACATTTGGCCCTTGATTTTACTTTATTACATCATGTTCTACTCACCCATATGAGTTTTGGGTGATTTGGAGCTGTTCTGAAGATATTATGTTAGGTTATATCACAGTAACGTCTTCCTATGGGCAACAACTTGAAGGCACAAACTGAACTGTTCATAATTTATCATTTATTGTACACCCGCATTTATAACATGTAGGCGAATCACTGTCCCCCAGACATCCCCGGTTACTTGGAATTCCTCGGAATATCTTCAGAACAGCTCCAAATGACACAAAACTCATATGGGTGAGTAGAACATGATGTAATGACATAAAATCAAGGGCCCAATGTAAAAAAAAATGGTGTTTCCCTTTAAGACAACGAATTTATGGACTTTCTTAAGATGGGTTTAGTTTTGGTTTCCATCTGTACATGGAATCCAGTAAAGGTGAAATGGATGTATAATGCAAGGGATATAGCTTTAACTCATAGAGCCAACTGTCTGTGAAAAGGCTGATAAGCAATACCAAAGAAAGGCTTTGGGACTGTTTATGTCGTTATCTTGGCACTGATGAATGACTTAATTAATAATTTCACTCACCTGTCTAACTCTGTCCGGTTTCTCATGACTGCTCATCTGATCCACCTGCTCCAGTTTCAATTTAACCTGCCTGCTCTCAGTCATCAGTGCCAGATTGTTCTTGAGCCTTTGGTTTGAGAGTTTTCAAGTGTAACCGATTGTGTTCTGATTGCCTGGTCCTGACCCATTCTGCCTTTGGACCTCTGAGCCTGCATGTTCCTTTTCTGATCTGTTTCCCAGAACCGTCTTCGAACTCCTGCTGGATTCTACTTGTGGACTGTACCTGGATCTGCCTCAATTTACCCGCTGGATTATCCTGCCTTCATTGATCTGCTTGGATCTGATCTCCTGTCAGTTCTGTAATCTTCAAGGATTCAGCATATGAAACTCTTGTGCGGCAACTGCTGCGTCTGGTAAGCCAACCAGCTGGAATCAACCTCATTCTCTGGGCATGAACTGAACTCTAAAGCCACGTTAGTGACTCACATGTTCATAATCATCCTCCATCAGATTATCGTGATCACTAACATCCGTTTCTCTCCTGCAGGGATTCCTGCCTTTGATGTCCTAGCTGCTGTAACTTCAGACATTTTCAATAAACGTTTTTGAGTAATCCCACACTCTGTCTTGCCTTGAATACAGGGTCCCCTGTTCTGAGCCATAACAGTTGGTTCTTACACTTGTTAGTAGTCTTATAAAAACGAATGAAGAATTTCAGTTTCAGTGCATCTCACAGTCAAATAAAAGGATGGCAGACATAAGGGGAAGACGTAAATAAAGACAAGTGCAAGTGACCTTGCAATTGGTCACCAAAATATGAAGAGGACAGGTAATTGTGAAGAGGGCACTTCAACCTGAAACTTTAACTTTTGTCCAGTGTAGTCTGCTGTTCTGGAGACCAGTCGTCTTTTGCCAAATATAAGCAAGTCCCAGACACTTCCTCATAGTTGGTGCACTACTTCACTGTCTGAGCAGACAAAACCAACCAGTTTCCGCATATCACTAAAAACCTGCCTGCTTCTTTGAGAAAATGCTCCCCCATTTGTCTGTGATGCTGTTGTTCTCGGACGTCTTGTCAGGCAACAGGATTCCTATCAAGATTTTGTGTAAACATGCAAATACATACCTCACCCAGTAATGTAAGAGCCTTATTCACACTGCAGTGGTCCACGAAAATTAATACACATTACCCTGACCAAGTAGATTACCAGTAATGACTTGCTGCAGGTTGTAAGTCTAAAAAGGGCTAATGAATCCCTTCCTATCATAGGTGGTTTGGGAAGTAGTGGTTGATCGAGCCTCCTTCTGTCCATCTCTGTCGTTGTGTCCTTGGGCAAGACACTTTACCCACCATGCCTGCTGTTGGTGGTTAGTGGACCTGGAGCCGCCGATGTTTTGCAGTCTGAGCACTTGGGCAACTATGGCCACAGTCCATCTTGTCGCCAAAACTGTGAATGTGGGAGTAAATGGGTGAATGACTGAATGTAGTGTAAAGTGCTTTGGCGTCCTTGGACTTTATAAAGAGCTACATAAGTACATGCCATTTATCATTTACCATCAATAGGAACATATTCATGTACCTAGCAGTTACACGCACAATGCTAATGGATTGTATGCTAAGGTAAATATTAAGATTCCGCCACAAATACCCAGAATAGAATTTACAGTTATTGCACCAAATCAAGACATTGTAAAATGACCTGGGGAGTAAGTCCTTACCAAGTTCCAGTTCTTACCAAGGTCCATGCTTGGTCATGAAGACCCTCATGATCATGATTACTGGAATCCAAATCAGATATTTCGCTTCAACCAGGATCCAGCTGTTGGCGTAAGTTCATACTTGTACTGGTTGAATAGTCATCACTCCCAGGAAGTCTTCCAGCATTTCTTCTCCCTCCATTTCTCCTAATAAACAATTAGAAAAAAAAACTCTGTATTTGGTTCTTCATAGTCTTTTTAATGTCATAGGGAAATGGCTGTGTCAACCGTTGCATTTCAGAATTCTCCCAAGTGGTGCCCAACTTTACATGAGTGAATAAAGTGATTGGTTGTTTATCAAGAGGGCAAGATTGATGTGGCGGAAGGTTTGCAAGCAAGTTTGATTGTGACCGGTTTCTTCAAAGAATCTTAATAATCAGTTAGCAACTTAGTGCTAGTAGGCTCACAATGGGAAAATACATTGGGACCAAGTAGCACTAAATTGGTGAAACAACACTGTCAAGGAACGCTATGGACAGCGGAAACATGCAAGAGGAGGAGAGTTTTGCGTTGGAGGTCATGGATGAGTCTCCTCCGTCACACATTTTTTATTTAGAAGAGGACAAAGATGTTGTGGAAGAGGACGCCAGGGCGGCAGAAGCTTGGTTTGGTGTAGAAAGCTTACAGCCGTACATGTTTGAGCCCTTGCCTCGCAACGCTGCCAGTTCTGTTAGCTCTATGCTAGAGCGTAGAGCTAACGACAGTAGAGTGTGTAGAGCTTTATTCTAGAGAATAAAGTCATAAATTATTAGTCTACGTCTATCATTTATATACACATCAAAATGTGCTGGATATTGTATTTGGTAGCCTATCTGTTGATAAAAACATTTTGGAATACATTTGCGGATGTGTAATCTCGATTATCTCTATTCCATTCTGCTCTTCCGTGTTCTGGTTCTTCCGCTCTGCTCTCCGATCATGGCAGAAGAGCAGAGCTCCTCTAGTGAAACAACACATAACGCTTCAGACATAAGCGTAATGTGTTCAGCTAAGCACAGCGTGTTTAATTCCTCAAACTAATGACACGAATTGCCTTGAGCAGTAGGCGAACGTCGGAATCATGCGGGAATTGCAGGTGGTAGCGGGACAAAGTATTACAGGTGCAGGCGGGAGAAGGACTGAAAATCATGATTCTTTGCTGGAGCAGGACTGAACACTGCCAGAGCAGGCGGGCCTCTACTCTATGCCTACTGAAGACACAGGCGTCCATCCCCGTAAACACGGGGACAGAACTCAATGCTAAAGTAAATGATTCTTATTTCAACCGTTGCATATATTAGCTCCGACATATGAATCAAGATGCTATGACCGAAGAAAACTTGATTGACAGATGACCGTTGATATATGATTGGCAGAATTTACGTTGTACAAGCTGACGTATAACTAACTAGCTTATATAAGATAACGGAAAAATAAACACAGATATTAAGACAGGATTTTTTTTAACACAAATTTTCAAAATTTTGGGAAATATTGTCTGATAAAGAGTATATTTATATACATGTTTAAGCCAGAATGATTTGACATTTAAATATGACTTCCCTAGGACTTTAAAGCATCATCTGTTACCTAATTTCTGCCCCCAAAATTTCCCTCACGTTAACAGATCTAGAGTATGTTTAAAAAACACACTATTTAATTTTCTTGTCAGATTCTTTGTCCTTACACTGTCACAAGTACAGAGCAACAAAATTCACTCTCTGCATTTAACCCATCCCATTGGGGAGCAGTGGGCTGCCATTGTTCGGCACCTGGGGAGCAGTGTGGGGTTAAAGGTATACATGGAATCATTTTAAATCAGCCATCATTTTAAATCATCATTGCTATACCACTGGCAACCTGTCCAGGGTGTACCCCGCCTCTCGCCCATTGACAGCTGGAGATAGGCACCAGCACCCCTCACGATCCCACTTGGGATAAAGCGTGTAAAAAAAATGGATGGATGGATGCAAAACCATTTAAAATAAGCAGGATGCTGTGCCTTGAGGACCAAGGTTGATGAACATTTAAACAGCTTTGGAGGTCACTCTGTTTATGCGTTGGTTACCTCTGGGTATTCCGAACTTATAACTCAGTTGGTCTAATGGTCTCTCTAAACTTTCCCCCAACAAAATAAGAGTGTGCATTCATTAGATATTCCACTCTAATGGACAGGTGTCTCATTCACAGAGTACAAGAATGAGATCTGGAGTAAGGCGCCAGCGGCCATCGGCTTATCCTAAGTGGGTAAGTATGTATGGGCATTATAAACATGCATGATGGGATAAAAGCTAGCAAAAAGCTTTACGGTCACTGACAATGGTGTTATATTTCCTGACAGGGATGCCGCACTAGGTTTCTCCTTTTACTTTTCCTTGGACAACTTCTATAGGTCAAGACTAAAACATAAAGTGTGAGCACAATACATTTCTTTCATAAATTAGGCTGAAAATCTCTTTTCATAGCAGCATTTCACAGAAAAGCTGGAGGACCGAATATGCAGCCCTGTGGCATTAAGTTAACTGTGCCTAATTCAGTTAGTGCTGGAAAATATATCGCGGACATTTGATGGTCATTTAAGATGAATGGTGTTTCAAAATTTTTAAAAAAGGGTGTACAAGGGGTACCTCTGCATTTAACCCATCCCCTTGGAGAGCAGTGGGCTGCCATTGTTCGGCACCTGGGGAGCAGTTTGTGGTTAAAGGTATTAATGGAATCTCAGTTTTTTAAAGGTACCTTAACTTCCTCTCTAAACCGTTTCATAAGAACATTTGCACCTAATTTTTTCAAGTCCGGCATCTCAGTTCTGGGCCTCAAGTAAGAATGAAACCTGTTTGGTGTACTTTCTCACACAAGAGGAAGCAGGTGTTTTTTCTTTAAATCAACAGGCTTCTGATGCTGCATGCTTAGTCTTCTGACTCACTGCTGCCACAGACAGTGGGCTCAGTATGAGTGTATGTGTGTAAACTAAAGAACGGTGGGTGTTTTGCAGCTCAAACCACGTTACAAATGCAGTTAACTCTCTTTTTAAAGGTTATATTGTGAAATGTGGATTAGGAATATACAAGCAATGATTATGTTTATATAAAGCTACTGAAAATTGAAGGTCAGTAAAAGATAAAAGAGAATCCTACATTTATATCACTAGAATGAACATGAAATACATTAATGGGCCTATTTAGTTAATGTCTTTTGAAATAAAAGTGAGAAAATAACCGCATATCAAGCAACAGGCTGTATAAATGAAGCTTTTACAGAAAAAAAAAAAGATTATTTTGAAGGAACAGAGTCTGTCTGTTTCTTAATGATCTCTCAGATGTTTAGGTCTGTCTTAAAACATAAGAAAATATCACTTTAACATTAAAATATCAGACTTACAGCAGAATAAACCACAGAATGACAGCAGATTATTAACGTCATATGAAAACATGAGCGGTACTTACGGTGGTTTCAGAGGCAGATCTCCCTGCAGGAGCACAGACTGAGTCAGAGGGGCCCCCGGCTGACAGCCGCCAGCTGAGGGCGGAACTGCCGCTCCATACGTGGCTCAGGAAACTCATTTATCTCCACCCTCATGCTCTCAGGGTCGGATTTCATCTCCAGGACACATCAGAACAGCGGGACTAAATGTCAGCAGGTGTGTTCTACAGACCTGATTAAGACAGGAGCCGATAGACTGCGGTTCTGACTCTGTTCCGGTGTTCTCAGGAGCCCCGGTTCCGCTTGCATGGTGCGTTTCCCCACCAGCTGCGCTTCTACTCTGAGCTTTACGGCCGCCCTTTAAATCCGTGGTGCTTTCAAGTAAAATCGTACAAAATGGACCTTATACATCAGACTTCACAGAAGTTTCATATAT